TGACAAATCTTTTTCTAAGAACGTCGTTTTAATTCGTACTTGAATTATTACTCTTAGGAAAATGTGATGTGCAACAAAAGTATCATTTAGAACGTTTAAAATTATTCCTATTCTTGAAGAATAATATTCTTAAATATAATATTTTAATCAACTTTAATCTTATTACATCTGACACCTTTTATGTCTTGTTTATTTCATCAAGTTGTACTACGACAAGAATATTAAAATATTTCTTAATTTGTAAAGAAGAGCCTTGGTTCTAAGATCTAATCAAATACGAAGTTATGTTTTTCTTTTTCACTCTCGTATGAAACTCGCGCAAAGAAGTGTAATATCTCGTTCTTCTATGAAAATAGTTTCGTTATCGTTGCCTACGATCACAAATGTCTTTCTTCATTCAGAAGAAGGTCGGTTTTTAATTTTTCTCTTTCTCCGTAGACTCTTTAATCAACTGGATAATTCAAAGGAACCTTGTCTGTCAGGGGCTCGTTTCGTTTACATTTAGGTATAGTCCTTGGATCGCAATGAGATGCGATTTGTATTTTTGAATTAGAATAATGATCGATTTTAAATTAAGATTGCCATTTATTGGGATAGTATTTTGATATTACTTTTTATCATATTTCCTATAATATCGAATAAATTTATGATCAATATTTATATAATGAAATGTCAATATGTAATCCTGACGCAATCTTGTTCCTTATTATAAATATTGATCAACGTTTATATTTTAAAATATTGATAAATTATTATTTATATTTAAAAAAGTAATATTTTTTATTTATTTCCTTCTGTATTTTATTTTTTAACCATCGATTTAATGAACAAATCGAAACTTTGGAGAAGGTTCTTTATCCGTTTCCTATCATTTCTTTCGAAATCTATTTATTATAGTTTATTCGAGATCGATGAATTCCGCTTCGAAAAATCCGCAGAAATTCGATGGCATGAGCAACGAGTGAACTATTCGTTTACGCAATCGTTCGCTACGTGGCCGATCCTTAGTTAGTATCAAGGATTCCGGCGAAGCGCCAAATAAATCGATTCTCGAAGACCGATCGCAACCTTCGAAGTCGCTTATGCTGCTGCTGTGTGACGACAACGATCGTTACAATAACGAACGAGAGAACGAGCGTCATTGACGATTTTTCTACGCTCTCGTCCTCTTGTTTAGAATAATTATAATATTCAGCGTCCGTAGATTATTCGTATCAATTCGTTCTTCATTACTTTAATGATAAGGAAATGAAAATAAGAGTTAAGTTTACACTTAACATTTTGAAGCATGGAATTTATGGAAAATAAAAAAATCCAAGTTGCATCGAAATTTTTCTTATTCTCGCCAAATAGAATTATTTTCAATGTCAAAGAATTTATAATTTTCTATTGTAAAAACACTGTGCTTCAAATAATTTTAATTTCTTTTTTTTTATATGGTTTAATTTTATGATGCTTCTAAGGATTAACATTAAATATACGAACAGTTTATTATTTATGTCTATTATTTATATCGTGGTTAAGTAACTGGTCTTTAACTTAATTCATATAGCTAATAATGAAATTGTAAAATAAATCAAACGAAATTAGTAATTATAATTGTCTTACTGTTAAACAAAGAGTAACGTTAAATGCATAATTTTAATGTCAAAATAAAAAGAACCAGTCGAAAAATAAGTTTAGAGATATAAATTTAACATTTATCCTTACTTTTGTCACTTTTTATTCCAACAAATTCAAGGATAACTTTGGATATGTAATTGCGAGTTTCATTGGTTAGGTAGGTAGGTGCACCTTTTAACGGATGTTTACATTAAATAAAAAGTCATTGTTTCGACACGAGATCTTTTTTTTATTTTTAATGAAATAAATTATAAAAGATCTCCGAGATTTCTCCAATATCCCAACAGAATTTCCTATTAAGTTCGAATAATCTTCGTCGATGATCATGCGGCTGACCACTACATTTACAGAGAACTTACATGTATAACCAATGCGTATCCATCTTGGGATATTCGAATGCAGATTTCGCAAGTTTCTCGCATTGCAAACGCGGATGAACATCGGCGTTTTTTTATGCGAATACCGTGCTAAATATAAAAAGAAAAAATAAATAAACGAAATGTAGCCGTTTGTATATTTAACACGAGGTTTTGAATATTTAATATGATATTTATTAAAAATGAGACGGAAGGGTATAAAAAAGAACATAGAAAAAAAATTCATGATGTGTCTTTCTAGTTCAATGACGTTCATTTTTATAAACATCTCTCTCTCTCTTTTTCTTTCATCGAGGACTTCACACGGTCGAAATCGTTTCTTCGAAACTATTATATAATTCTCGTATACCTGCAAAATTATATAATTACATACATACACACCTACATATTGGAAGAGAGACAATGAGAACAACTCGAAGTCTTTAACCAGAATTGAACGTGAATCGAGTAAAGTAGTAAATTACACTTAACTTGCATGTTTCTCGATTAACGAGATCTCGTTAATTTCACGTTATTTCAACGTCGTTCACGAGAAACCTCTCATACACTTTCCATATCGATTCCCAACAAGCTCTCTCAACTTCCGTTTCATAGACGTGATTTTCTCGTATATACATATATATTTAAAATCCACCGATAATTAAATTCTTGGCTATGTCAAAATACGTAATTGTAATTAGTGATGTTAATCGGCACAAGAGACTCGGTGATTACGATCTTATTTTTTCATCTTTTTTCGTTTCTTTATTCTCTGTATAAGATTCGTGATAAAAATTATATATTTTTATTTTATTTTTATTGTAGCAAGTATCTCTCAAAAAATTGTATATCGTAATAATTCGTATTTTTCTGTTCGAAATCACTTTAATACGAGTCGTTCAGTTGGAGCCGCGTCTTGTTCGCGTCCTGCCTTCTTTATAATGATATTCCACTTTGTTAACGTCGGGCACAAAGTCTGTAGCCATGATCCGTTTCCACGCACCGGTGCACCCGGCTACGTAGCATAAGCTTGGCACAACACGCGCGAGTTTGTCGTCACGCTGGAAACCCAAGAACACGTCTCTCTTCTGACGCGTCTTCAAGAGAATGATGATCCATCCTCTTGCTCTCGCTTACGTTCCGAGTAGCCATCGCATTATCAAGCTGATTCTTTCTATCTCTTCTTTTTTCCCTTCTTCTTTCTCTTTTCTTCTTCTTTCTTTTTTTGCTTAGTTTTCTTAGTTTTCTTTTTTTACCTTTTTTTTTTTTTTCTTTATTCTTTTCTATCCAACTAGCTCTTCGCTCATTGCCTACGATTATACTGAGAATTGCAACATTCGTTGAACCACGCTCGATGGATCATCTAGGATTTTTAAATTGAATACGCGTGTGTTTTTTTTTTTTTAACGATATTTATGGTGTGTGTGTGCTCGCTTAGACATATTCGCGAGAGATTATTTCCCATGGCAGGGAAGAAGAAGAAGAAGAAGAAGAAGCCGATCGAGTTGTGCTGATAATAACACGAAAAACCACCTTTCGAATCTCACTTGGTAATCGCATATTTGCGTGATCTTTTTTTGCGTAATAGATCCTTCTTCTTCTTCTTCTTCTTCTTTTTCTTCTCTTTTTTTTGTTTTTATTTATGTTTTTTTTCTTTGCGTAAGAGAGTGTAATAAGTAACGGCATAGAAGAACGACTTCTTGCTTTAATTGAAAATTTACAATGGGGCTCATTAAGATCTAATTATTATCATTAACATATTTGTCGTTAATAGAAGTTAATAACACAGATGATCTTAACAAGTATGACGTCAACGATCAATGTATCCACGGTTTAAAAATAAGTCAAGTTACATCATTGTTCAAACTTCTTGTAGAAAAGTGAAGGTTAACGTTATAGAAAAATAATTGATCGTTACGTGCAATCAGTTGACCATCTTTTTTTTCTTATTCTTCAAAATTGTTTTTCTAATTTTGATCGAGAGAGACAAGTTGGTTCTTCTAGAATGAAATCTTGACCACACAAAAGACACTTTGTTGACCTTTGAGATATCGCAATAGAATCGGTCGCGAGTTCGTGTAATTAAATTGCACTTTTAATTTAGTTTAAAGAGAGGAAAAGAGAGAGAGAGAGAGAGAGCAAGATTTGATCTAGCTTCTAGATCATGCTGGACTTTCATGTAGGCCACCTTTTCTGCAACGTGACCGGTCCAGGGTTGACCCTTAACCAACAACATTCGACGATAACGAAGTTTAAACCCGGTGCCAAGATCCAAATCGATGATTCTTCTTCTCTCTCTCTCTCTCTCTCTCTCTCTCTCTCTCTCTCTCTTTCTTTTTCTTTAGCAATTAAAGTAAAAGGAGACGGGCACGGGGACGCCAGGAATAACACGGCAGGACCTTTGCCATCTCGCGTGTCACGTAGCCATTACGATATCATCGTATTCCTTTCTTTCTTTATTTCTTTTCGTTTATTTATTTCGTATTTTATTTTTAAGACCTCCAACAAAAAAGCAAAAGAACATTAACCAATGCGTTCTCTAACTCGTTCAAGGTCCTCTCAAAAATACTCAAGGTCAATCCGTCATTGTATTCACTACTATCGTTTCCCAAATCCATAATGCGTTCTTGCGTTGATTTCTCGAGGTCGTGTCATGCGATCATTCGATCCCAACAGATATCGAATTGTAGAAGGCCTGAAAGTTCGCTCGTGCAGAACGATCGAAACTACCTTTCTACGATCGATCAATCGTCGCCATTTTATTTTTTTTGTCTTACCATCGATCCCTCCGTAGTTATCCATGGGGGTCCTCTCTTGTGAAAATTCTTTTTTTTTTTATCATATCATGGGTTACGGATCGTTTGTTGTCGAACGAGATCTCGATCGATTGTGTAAGATCGAGTTAATGAGAGATCGTGGGATGTTTTTTCTTATAGCTTTTGTACTTGGTCATAAAAATTAATTACTTTATATTATTGTGTATATAGACAAGTTTATTGAAGATTTCGATTTTTATTTTAGATTCGAGTGCCATTGAAAATCAACTTTTCGGCCAGACAGAGAGACGTGTCTGTGACGATAACGAAAAAACATCTTACCTGTGGTGTTAAAGGACAACCTCCGATTATCGACGGTGATTTTCCCCATGAGGTCAAATTAGAAGAGTCTACGTGGGTGATAGAAGATGGCAAAGTTCTTTTGATCAATTTAGAAAAAGTGAATAATTTTCTTTACCATTATTATTATTATTATTATTATTATTATTATTATTATTATCTATCATTAGTCGAACGTATTCGTTTACAATTTAGAACTAAATGAAATTTCCTGGAAAATCTTCTCGTTCTTAGGTGAACAAAATGCAATGGTGGGCTCACGTGGTAACTTGCGATCCCGAGATTAGCACGAAGAAAGTTAATCCTGAACCAAGTAAATTGTCCGACCTTGACGGTGAAACCAGAGGCCTCGTTGAGAAGATGATGTACGATCAAAGACAAAAGGAACTCGGACTGCCGACTTCGGACGAACAGAAGAAACAGGACGTGATCAAAAAGTAAGATTCCAGTTATCTGAAGTATAATCCTTCTGTGCTTGCCTTTACCGATTCTTTTTTCTTTTTTTCTTCTCTTTTTTTCTTTTTTTTTTACCTTATCTGATAAATGCTTTGGTTTTCAGGTTCATGGAGCAACATCCAGAGATGGACTTCTCCAAGTGTAAATTTAATTAAAATTACATTTTAATCGATTCGATCAAACAAAAGTCGTTGAATATGAACAGGTTTTATCCATATATGACAATTGTTCTGTAACTCGTTGTTGATGTACGTATACAGGTATTTTAAGAGTCGAATGGAAAAAACGCATTATAAGTGTTCCTTTTTATTTCGTTAACTATATCATAGCAACCTTGCATTCTTCGAACTTGACAGATCTGTACGAACAAGACGTAGTCTGTTTTGTAATGAAAGAACGCCATATGATGGCAGCACTCTCTGCTATGTTCAATCGATTTAACTGTTGTAAAACAGAGAACTATCTTGTCACGTTTAAACTTGCCTTTTTGTCTACTTAAGTTCAACTCACATTGCATTTCTCTCATTCCTACGTGAAGCGAACGAACTAATGAGTACAGACAACCTGCACAAATGTAATAATACTTTTTTCATTTTCACTTATCATTGTAGATATTACGTTTTCTTATTATCGAATAAAGGATTTTCCAATACAATTCCATCGTCTGAAGTATATCAATAAAAGGCAAAAACAAATTCATAATTCTCCTACATATCGCGTACAAAAGCTCATACAAATGCGTTATTAGAAGAATGTAACGAAGTTATTAATCAACTAAACGAAGAACCCTTTTCTAATTTCTACGTTTTATTAATTACCTAATATTAATACTTAAACATAAAGGATATCACTCAGCACTCAGTGCTGTCCTTTTTTTCAAAATAATCGCACTATCAACAAATTTAATTACACCGTCATAGTTCCTTTTAGATTCTCGCCAAAAATTCGATCAACATTTTATCGAACTTTTCTAATCACGTTCATCGTCTTGTTTCATGACTCTCGAAATCCATTTCACATAATTGGGCAATTTAGCGTAAATTCCAAATTTGCCACGTTTCCCACAACCTTCTCCAAAACTGGTAATGCCGAAAATAGTCCAACCGTGATCGGGTCTTCGGGGATCTCTGCACAATAAAGGTCCACCACTGTCACCAGCACAGGAATCCATTTTTCCACGACGATAACCAGCACAAAACATATTGTCAGTTATTCTGTAATCCACGTAAACTTTTCGGCATATTTCCGAGGATACTATGGGTATCTACGAAACAAAATAAATAATTAATTTAGCTCCTTAAAAATGAATTCAAAGAATCACAAACTGATATATTTATATACATACCTTAACTTCATGAAGAATATCGGTACCGAAATCATCGGTTACTCTGGATTTGCCCCAGCCTAAAATAGTGCACAATTGATTCGTAGGTAAAAGTTGTTTCGGTGCTGGAAGACAAGCTATCCCTCTCGAGGGAGATGGAGTCAAATTAACTGGAAGACGTAACATGGCAACGTCGTTATCGACCGTGTCAGCGTCGTATTCTGGATGTATTACCACCGAGTCCACCTGCAACGATTATACCGTGTTAGCCATAATGCTCACCAAGTAATTGCTCCAAGGTACAACCGTTTCAAACACTTTATATATGTTTATGTATGTATGTATAAACATATACACGGTCACTTTAAACGGAAATAAGCATACGAGGAGAACATGTACCCTGAGCTCCAGTTCAGTGCCCTCCTTCACCGTTAAATCGTGTTCGCCGATACGAACGTACAAGCGTTTTCTTATGCAGTGGGCGGCAGTCAAGACCCATTTCGGTGAGACCAGAGTTCCTCCGCAAAATGCTTCCTATAGAATCGAGACTGTGCGATAAAAATGTAAACGACTCGCTCGGCCGGTAAATAAAATTCTCTATCTCGATAAAACCTACGTGAAATCTATTCAATACAGCCACTTGCCACGGCCATGCTCCTGGTACGGTTGGACGACCACCGATGATTCGAGTGAAATAAGAAAGTCTAGAATTTTTCTGAGGATTCACCATACCGCATTTCCATGCTGGCTGAACTTTTTCGGGAATAAAACTGTCCACGGAGTTGGGATTCAATTCGAATTCGTCTAATATCACGTCTGTAATAAATATTTATGTTAGTTTCGTCTATCATATTATTTTTTCATGATTGTTTTTTTTTTCGCGTAAATTTTCTTACCATCGTTATCTTCCTCTCGACTTCCACGAATTTTTCGGTGTATCCATCTTTGGCAGAAGCTACCTTCAACGTAACAATAAGCACTTTCTCGTATAACGTCACGACCACAGATCCCAGGCTTCCTACACCACCTATGATTAAAAATAATTTCATTAATTATTACTCAATTATTTTCTGTCTTTTCAAACATCGATTAGCAATTTATCGACTTGCCTGTGACGCTGGGTAGTACATAGCCTTGTACACGGAGACCATCTGCTCCATTTGCCATAGTGATTGTTAGATTGATCTTGGACATCGGTACCTCTTCTTCTACCGTGCCTAGGTGCGGCTTCCTTTGGCAACTATTCATAATTTTATACGATTGATGCATTTAATATTTATACACCAAAATTTTTACGTCATAAATTAGTTTGAAATCAACTTAATGTTCACCTGTACCACGTGAAATTTATCTGATTTCCATCGTCCTCGACGTTGACGTTGCTTACATCTTTTTCTTCGTCCTTTTCTCTTGTGTTCGCAAGTACGTTCTTCCTGTCAAAAATAATAATATATTTTTATCGTAATGATCACTACTTCAATTACGTTAACACTTACTCTAAGTACAGTGGTACCACATTGACTCTTCGTCATGCATCTTCTGACACGATTTTGTGAACAATGTCGATCACAAACCGACCACTCGCTCCAGTTAGTAAAATAAGATAATTTTGAAGACTCTAAAAAAAGTGAAAAAAAAAATTAGGAATACGACAAAAATGGAATAATTATAATTTAGTCATTAAAAAAAGTCATACCGCTCTTTGGTGATGATTGCTCCGTGACCGTTTCCTGAGTGAACGAATCTATCCAAGCATCGTCCTTTCCAGCGACTGTGAAAGTATGATTCGCAATCTGTAATAAAATGATTTTTATGAGCTCTTAAAATGAATACCGAGAAAGGTAAAAACAGGTGGAGGGTTTTCAAACGATTAGATAACATGTTTCTTCTCCTCAACACAACTAAGAAGATTAAATCTTTGCTGTGTCATAAACACGATCGATCGAACGTCTTCCTTTAAGACATAGACTCTTCATACAAAAAGAGAAAGAAGAAGAGAGAGAGAGAGAGAGTGAGAACACAAAGATATGAGGTGAAAAACGCAATGCACGTATCTTACCGCAAGAAACATAAAGAAAAAAAAAATCTTTAGTACTTATTCGCGAATAGAAGAGAAAATGAAGAAAGAAAGAAAGAGATGGAAGGAAGCCCATAAAGATTCTCCATCACGTAGGCAGATCATTGCAAAAACACCGCGAGATAGTGATGGCTCTTAGGCGAGAAGGAGTTAATGGAATAAGAAAAAGAATAAGAGGAAGGTTGTGCGATACGTTCTGAACACCTCGCGAATAAGTAGTTACGAGTTAGATGCGTAACGCCTGTTCTACCAGATCATTCGAAAATTAAACTCGATTTGTCGCTTTGATAATAGCATTACGACGTAACCGCGACCTCTCCTCATCTTTCTTCCTCCCAGAGTAAGATTAGCTGACTAGCTAGCTAGCTAAGCTAAGCTAATCGTGCGTTACACAACTGGTCGCCTGGACGTAGGTAGAAACTCAGCATAAAGTAAGCGTCAATTTAGTACTCTTTCGCTTTTAAATGCGAAACTTCTGTCCTCCTCAAAACGGATCGTGTGCATTGCCGTTGTCATCGTCGTTGTCATCGTCGTCGTCGTCGTCGTGTGGCATCAAACGAGAGAACTCATGAGGAATGCATTTGTCCTTTTCGTACCACTCGTAATAATAATTGTCCTCGTATATGTGCCCACGCATCAATTCTATCCTGTTCATATACACACATAAGTAATACTTGATATACAGCCTCCGGAGTTGCCGACTAAGAACTTCCTTGCTTTTCTAAACCTGTTATAATAGGACGAAGGTATAATCCCTCTGATATTTGCGATTCTTATACTCTAATGACAATGTTTGGTTCTTTTTTATTTTTTATCTTTATTTTTATTATTTTTTTTTATGAAGAGATAGAAAACAAAATCTATTTAGTATCTTTTTAATGTGTTCTCAAAATTCGTTACGCCTATCGTATAGTTCATTGATTTTTTCTTCGTGTAACAGTAGACGATCGCAGAAACTAGATTCAAAGTATCTCGAAATGGAATCAAGTAAGGCTCTCTCAGAAGGTTCTCCCTTTTTAATACACCACGCCTATCGTCTAACTCTTTTGCATTGTCCCGGTGCAAAACGGTGACGCGAATCTCACCGAGTTACCTCATCGAGGTCGAACGTCTCAGACACACCAAGAAACCTAATACTGAATATGTAAGACGACAAACGTAACAAGTATCACGATCGAAGATACGCATACATTTTCTAACTAATTTATGTAATCAAGTATGAACGAAATGAAATAAGAGAATTTAATGTTAGAGTCTGTCATTCTAATTTTTTTCTCTTACGTTTCTGAATCATCGATTTGATTAAAACAGCTTTCATGGGATCAGGGACTGCATAGAGATTATAAAAGACTCTTTAATGATACTTCTTAGAAATGAAGATAGTTATAAATATAAATTGCAATAAAAAATATAATCCTCATAAATATTTTTGTATAATCGTCTTAATCCCTTTACTGGTCAGACCTCAAGCATTGAAATCTCCAATCGATGGGAGAGAAACAACTTAACGACGATGTCTTCTTATGTTAACTAGGAATTCAAATTCACTAACGATCCACATACGTATATCACCAAGTTATCTTATATATTCTCGTTTCTTATTAAACGAATATGCGAAAAACAGGTTTCCACGTCGATTGACTCTTTTAGAACGAACTCATTTTAAAACTCTCACGTAAAATCGTCTGCTGAACGATCGTTATTAATAATGATAAAAAAAAACGAAAAAGAAATCCCTTAACGAAGTATCCTTTTCTTTTCTTCGTTACTTCCTTTTCTCACTTTCTCAAATCAGCTTTAAAACTTGTTGATTAAATAAGCTTCGTTGATTTCGATGGGGGGATACAACAACACATGCCATCGTAAGATATCAAATTACGATGAGATCGATAAAGTTAATATACATATGTACATTTATACGTACATACCTGCACGTATACAACATTCGAATCTCTCAAATCGATTTCTGTTCTTATATGGATCTCGTCCACTTTTTATCGTCTCTTCTTTACGACCCTCATATATATATATATATACCACATACAGTGCTCACATATGAAATGAAATATATAATGAACGTCTTTTATGTGCTCTCTATAAATTTACGTAAGTTAACGTATATACACGCAACGTTCGTTTTACGAAAAAAAAGGGAAGGAAATTAAATTAAAAAAAAAGATATGTAAAAAGGTCATAGTAAGTAGATACGTTAGAATCATTTCATTTAATGACACGTTGTTCGTTTCAATCGATAATTATCTTCCCGAGCTGATTTATTATTTTTTGTTTGGTCTAACTGAAACAATTTAACGCGAGAATAAAACAGAAAGTAAAAAGAAAAGAAAATATCTTTATGTCATAACACTGTTTTATGGATATTTTATAGACACACTCGTTAATGTCGAGTAGGTATCGTTGGAATGGTGGTTGCCTTAATTATCGGCGATTCTTTCGAAGAGAAGTTCTCTTCCAAGTTACAGAAAAGGCGATCACTTGGTAGAGAATGAAAAGGGAAAGCGAAGAGGAAGAATACTTGGTGATCGTCATGATTGGAAGTCCGTGACAAAGTGAGAAAGAGAAAGAAAGACAAAGAAAAAGATAAAGGAATAAAACGAGAGAGAGAGAGAGAGAGAAAGGACGAAGGAAAATCTGTATGCGTCGCGGAGGACGTGTCCAAACTAGGCTGAAGCCTGCGGTGTCTTACATCTTGGTGACGATCCAGCAAAAAGCTTGAACCGCTTAAAGGAAGAACAATTCTGTGGGGGTAAAGGAACCCCGATGAAAGAGAAAGAGAGAAATAACTCGGATCTCGTCGATCCGCCTACCAGAAAGATCCACCGTATCTCGAAAAGCACCATAAAAGAATCGATCAGTAATGCCGACGAATCCACCTCTTTGGCCAACGTGTCGCGCTTAATCGAAGCTTTCCATCGAAGGGAAACGGTACTTTACACGATCTCGCCGTTGAATTTGTCCATCTTCGTCGGCGTTACTTTCTTAGAAAAACAATTATCATCGATCTTCGAGTATCATCGTAGTAAGATGCTGAAAGGTTACCAATCAACTTCCTTGATATCCATTTCAACCGTTTTCCTTCTTCTTGTACGTATTGATAATTGGAAAGGAAAAAAGAAAAGTTTATCAGGAAGTACAGGTATGATTTAAGTAGATAAAAAGAGTTTTATCTACTTTCTATAGAAGAAAAATATCTGAAGATCTCTAAATGGGTTAGAAGAAGAGGAGTAAAGTACGAAATGTCCGGCATTTGTTCTTGCACAACGACGCCTCGGTTATACCCTAGATGGTAACGTTGTCTCCCGTTGCAAGAGGGTATCCGAAAATGGCCGGGCATTTCTTCTTCTTCTTCTCCTTCTCTCTCTTTCTCTCTCTTTCTCTCTCTCTCTCTCTCTCTCTCTCTCCCTGAACAAGAGGACTACCGTCGATTTAATGCGGGGGCCTCGTGCGATGCACCTTCCTTCCATCGTCCGTAACGATGGAATGCTCGCTATGGCGAGATCGCCAACTGATTTATGGCCTATGCTACGATCGAAAAGGGCACGATCTTCACCACTGATCCTTCCTTCGCCTCTTCTTCTCAATCTTCCCTTCACCCCTTCCTTTAACGAACGTTCCTTTCGAAATGAGTGTCCTCGGTTTAAGATCTTTCGATAATCAATTACGTAAAGATTTGTTTCAATGTCTTCCCATTTTAATGAGTCAACTTCCAGCTCGTGCTTAGAATATATGCATCCGATCACTTTCGACAAGCATGATAATGTAAAAGTTCAGAGGTTCAAATCTCTTCGGTAAAGAATTAACTCATTTATATTATCACCGTATTTATACTCTCAATTTTCTTGGCCCGTCGTATAAAAATCTTACGTAATTTGTATTATATTTTCAATGCTATTTTTTAAATTACAGATCAATGAACTTTGATATAGTCGACGTAGGATTTTTATGAAAAATATTTAGATACAAGGATTGGTTGAAAAGTTTTGAGTTTCAATAAAAAAACTTATTTTTTTTTCTAAATAAAAATTTATCTAATTGAAATAATATAAATTGTCCTTACGTTGGACTCAAACCTTTTTAACTTAAAGTCCACGTATATAATTATTTTTTACTTGCAATCTTTCAACTTAAATATAATCACAAAAAAATTAGCGATAAAGGCTTTTTTTCATTCTTCTTAATCATTCAAATGGGTTAAAAGTATCTTGGTTTTGATACACGGTAGACCGTAACTAACGTTTGTTCTGTTAAGTTTGATATTCTTTAAGAAAATGTTGTGGTTGATTTCTTGAAGAACATTTATCACTCGTTTGTTCGTTCGTTTGTCGTTCATTCGCTCGTCCCCTCCCCCCAGTAGATTACAAAATACTCGTGTAAGTTCGACTACGTGGGTCTGTCGATTCTTTTTCTTCTACAATCTCGTTACGGTGAAATGTAACTAACTCCTAAACGGACGATCTGTCCGTCCGTCTGTCTGTTCTCTCGTCGATCAAAGCGAGCGTACATATAGAAAAGTATTTACTTTAGACGTTGACGAGGTACCATGCTTCTTTATTACGTCTCTCTTTAAAGATAGTTTAACACATCGGGTGAGATCATCCGGTGATTTACCGTCATCCATTCATCAACGACCAAGAGACCAACAGTTGCTCGTATTGATAAAATATAGTCATTATCGTCGATCAACCTTCTCTTACTTTT